CTATCCAACTATATTAAAATAAGAAACTTTCAATGTTTTACATAAATACAGCAAACTATACAAAACTATTAAAAATAACGTAATCAACCTGTATATATATATAATAAAATCAATATCGATACAAGTATATAATATATACGAGTAATATATAAGAGTAATATCGATATCTGCACATATATGATTTCAGTGCGAGTTAAAATGATGATTTCCTTTTGTATAATATATTTATATGAACAAAATGTTTATGATATTTATTTATTTTAAATCAAAATTATCTGTTTCTTGTATTTATTATTTGCTAATTTTATATGATGCATTTACATGAAAAACATGTTTATAATATTATTTAAATTAAAATTATTTTGTACGTTTTTTGATTCATCTACGTGAACACAAAATTCTTATGATATTTATTTATATTACCTGGTGCATTTATATGAATTCAATGATTATTATATTATTTAAATTTCAGTTGAAGTGATTTTTTACTATATATGATACATTTATATGAAGAATATGTTTATAATATTGTTTAGGTTCAAGTTTAACTTATTTATGTTATCTGATATATTTATACGAATTTAATATTTATCATATATATTATTTAATTATTTATTTCATTTGAGGCATTTCTCTTTGATACAAATTCCTAACAGATCTTTAAATTTTTAGAAAATGCTCGAATTGCTAAATAAAATACGAATTTCTAGAAAGGTCCATATGAATTCATTTTCGATTTTCTAACTAGAAAATAGAATTTCTTATTTCTATTCTCTTTAACATCGCATTTTCTAGAAAGTAAATTCGTCGATGAATTCAAATACTTAGAGCAATCCAAAAGTAGTGACCCAAGTACCTTATTTTCATATAGAAGGCTTCGAAAATTTTTCTTTTTTTACGAACAGATAGAGCGTCTTTCACTCTATTTTTCTATGCTGTTTGATCATTATTCAACTAATATTATAATAATAAAATTTCGATAAGATCTATTTTTTTCGCATGTGTCCTGGTACCATGAACATAAAAAGGAAAAAGAATTAACGATGCGGAGCGAGAAGAAGGGATGTAAAAAAAAGGACATCATCACATAGATAGATATTCAAGCCATTGAATAAGTAACGTTTGATGTTTCGCACTCATACATCTCACTCTTATTAATCTAAAGAAATGTCCAAGATGATCGTTTTTACTTTTACAAAATGTGTCCCAATAAAATATATCATTATAAAACGACGAACGACCTAGATCTGATTTGTCTATTTTTCCTAACCTTTTCTTTATTGTAACGTTATAAATATTCTTCTAACCGAGTTTCTTTGGTGATTTGATATAAATCTGAAGCACGAACGAAGGGACAGCGATGAAACAATCTTATTCCTGTTCTAAATTTTTTCAACAAAAGTTCTTTCTGTGTTTCCGGCAAGAAGGGGTATAGAGGGAATATCCAAGCAAAATATGGAAAACTGTAGGCAAAAAAACACCTTCTTAGTGCATCTGTTGAAAGAGATCTGCCACCTTTCATCCATTTCAATTTACAGTATGTTCCTAGAATTTTTTCAGGTATCTTGTCGATAGTTGGCTTCAAGGACATTTTATTTGTCCAAGTGAAGCCTAAGTACTTGAATTCTTTAACTGTCTGAAGTTGGTGATTCTGCATGTGAACATTCACTACTGGATGTTTTACTTGTGAATGAAAAACTTGAATGACTGTTTTAGCACGATTTATCGGTTGTTTCCAAACCTCCGAGTAACTCGCTATTTTATTGCATACTTTTGTTCCTTCGTCTTCTAAAAATTTAATCATCTGTTTAAATTAACGATTTATTGGTGGTGATATAAGTATGCTCAAATCATCAGCGAAAATATGACTCGAATGAGCACCTATACACTTCTTAAGATCACTGTGGTTGACGATGAACAAATAAGAGCTTAGACTACTATCTTGAGGCAGACCCACATATGTATAAAGCACTTTGGATTTATAACCACCAAAGTTGACATACGCACTACCACCGCTCGATCATGACACGATTTATTTTAATAGTCCTAACGGAATGCCCATACGAGAGAGCTTAACAATAAGACCTTTGTGTCAGACCTTATCGTAAGCTCTCTCGTAATCAACATATGCCGCAAGTGTTGAAATATTCATTGTTAATTTGATTTTAACTTCTTGGTATATTGAAAGTACTCTGGTGGGCAGTAAACAACCTGGCCTAAAACCAGATTGTTCATCTGGAATCAACCTGTTTGTTTCAGCCCATTATCTGACTTTGTCTAGTATGATTTTTTCAAAGAGTTTCGAATGTGTTGCTAGTAGTGTAATTGGTCATGTTTGATTACATCGTGGAAACCCTGCTTTTAATTTATTCAAGATGACTGTATTAGCTAATTTTCAAAAATCAGGATATCTGTACTCCTTCAACCACAAGTTGAAACAATTTACTAGGCAACTAATGTAAGTCGGAGGAATTAATTTGATCATATAATTGGATACTTCATCAAAACCAGATGATTTTTTTGGTTTTAATCTAGATATATATTTCTTTACTTCAGTAATGTTCGCTGTTTCACTTTTTACATTTAAACTCTTAAATTTATTCATCACTTCCGAATATTCTAATTCTATCTGGGTTTTATGTGAATCAGCTAAATTAGTACTTTGTGATTTAAACTACTCCGGGTAATAATCATAAAGTTTATTTGTAATTTCGTTTTCTTTGGTTAATAGTATCGTGCCGCTAGCTAGTTTTCGAAATGACAACTATTTAGATTTGTATATTCGAGAGAGATATGATCAAAAAGCCTTTTCTGTGTTATTATGAGTATTTTGAATTTTGCCTAGAAATTCTTGCCATTTATACGATTTATATTTCGCAATTTCTCTCTTCACTATGCGTGTCATCACACGTAGTAGTAGCCTTGTTTCTTCATTTGCATTGCCTATTTTCTTCTCTCTGTAATATTTATTTCTTACTCTTTTTACTTCTTTTAAATATTGAATTATGTATGGGGGTAGTGTTGGTCGGAATTTTTCTGTTTCTCTTCATTGTGTTAGTCTGTTTTTCAGAGCAGCAAGAAAGCGCACGTAGTTAACATACTACTCATCGGCATGCATCCTTCTATCCTTTTCTTTTCTCCAAAAATCTTGTAATAATGTAAGCATAGCTTCATATACCTTCCAATTGACGTGGAGAAAAATTTTATTCTTATTCCACCCAACATTTTCACACGTTATCACTATCGACCAGTGATCGCTACTGCCTACTTTCAACGTTTCTCCACGTGTACCACCCAAATTTGTGAAAGATAAATCGATGTTTCTATTCGAACGTTTCGAGGAATGTAATGTCGTAGGAATATAACAAAGATTGTTTTTTTCTACCCACTCTTTTAATATTCTCCCGCTTTCATCTGATGATTAACTGTCCCACTCTCTTATGGACGCGTTGAATCACCAGTGATTATTGTATTTTCAATGATATATGGTTCTAATTCGTCTAAATTTCTGTTTTGGCCTTGCGGCCAGTAAATAGCAATTATTCTAATTGTTTCAGACAATCCACTAATATCGACAATAACTGTATTTTCAACACTAAAATCTAATCTTGTTCCTTTTAAATGTTTTCCTACAGCTACACATACACCACCACTTTTATTAGTTCCGTCTTGATGAAAAATTTCGAAATGAAGAATTTTAGATGTATTCCATAATTCACCAACTTCAGTAAATATACAGATGGAGGCATCTACTTTATAAACAATATCTATTACTTCCAGACATCTAGAACCCCATCCTTGCACATTGTAACAGAGAATATTCAAAGGCATTTGCTCTTTTGGCGCTTCTTTAGGTGATAACTTCTCCTGTTGAGAGAGAATTTTTTCCAAAGTACCTGCTGTGTACCATTCTGTTAATATACTGTCTACTAGCTTTCCATCTTTTGCTTGGAAACTCCATTGAGAAAATTGTTTCATCACTGTCTCTTTAAAATTTGTTGTTTGAGCTGGATAAAAGGATTTAGCATCAGCTTTTAGATTAGAAAAAAGAGTACTCATCTATGTGCTCATCTTTTGCTTTTGTCCATTGTTCTGGTTATTGTTGGTTGTTTGCGGTGTTTGAGATGGAGAAAGACGTGGGGAAGGAGACGTGTTACGTTTTCATCTTGTTCCCTCGACTGAAGGGAGGGTCATATGAAAAAAAATGCGTCCGTTGGTTTGTTGGTTTGTTTGTGTCACGGTCAAGGGTCAAAGGTCACAGGTCAAAAAAACATCTTCTTCAATATCGAGGATGCTCTATCGATTTATGGGTATATAATTCGAGCGGGACATTTTTCAAATTGCATCCCCATTACATTATTGTTTTATATATCGACAGAGAATAACATTTTAGAATAAAACCATGACAATCGAACCAAACGAAAACAAATAAACACTACAGGATGATATGTGTCTTTATTTATATAAAAGAATAAGTTATTGCATAACTTATGCTCTTTTAACCAGTTTTACTGTTTACCACAACAATCTACCTTTTAATTGGTACTATCTTGGTTGTGAGTGTGGTGTGGGTGAAGGTACAGACGAAAACAAGACCCACACCGACACCCACACCCAAATTACACCACTTGAGCCTTGGAACATGCATGTTTACCGAGATTTTTTAGCATTGGGCTATTGATATCGTTTCAAAAAAACATATGGCCAATAAGGTTTCAACTAATGGGCTACTGCTCAATGACCATACCTCTGGCTACGCCACCGATTCTAAAGTATTTTAAGGTACTTTAAGGTATATGGGTGCGTCCCTTTTCGTCCTCGCTCTTCCGAACATCCGGTTATTTGTTCGGATGTTCGGAACATAAAATGACGGCTGTTCGGAACAAAAAGTGATGCATGTACAGAATGAATTTTGGTGTCAGCTTTTTAACATAGAGAAGGATTCATTCATATAGTATCCTTTAAGTCCTTGAGTGTAGTGACCTCTTGTACATTCAGTTAGAGTTTTTTAAAGTAGTGTAGAGTTCATTAGTGAGCGATAGATTTTACAGATAGATAGTGTAAATGAGTAGTAAAAATAAAGATCTGCTTTTTGCGGAGGTTAGCAGTTCGAAGGTGGGATGTGGGTATGAGTGTGAGTATAGTTGTAGAGAAAACTCGAACTCGAACCCACACACCACACCCACACCCTCTGGAGTATTTTGTTACGAACGTCCGTCATTTTAGGTTCCGAATATCCTGTATTTTTCGTTCCGAACATCTGGACGACTTTTACTTCGAACATCCGGTGTTTTTCTATTCCGATCTTCCGGATATTTCATTCCGAACATCCGGTATGTTTCAAAGTAACTGCGTTTCGGAACGGCCATCTATGACCGATGTCCGTATAAAAAAACGAGGATGAAAAGGGAGCGCCCCAAGGTGTATTTTAAGGCACTTTAAAGTACAAAAGCACGATGCTTTCTCCTTGTACAAACCGCACTCCAGAACATTTTTTTTATCCAGAAAAAAGCGCCACGCGAAATGCTCAGACTTTCGTCACATGTCTCAAAAAAATAAAAACAAAAAAAACCAATAGACTCCGACGAATTTCTTGTGCACCTATAGAATTTCTATATTCATTTTCAACCCGCACATTTTCCCTTCCACATTCACTTTTTCAGATAATAAAATCAATAAAAAGCACTGGAACTTTCAATTGAATTCTTAGTTAATTTTCAGATAAATGTCTGACAAGCCGAACACATACTGATAAGAAGCGGACAAAACACAGATTCGAACAAAGTAGAGTTATAAAATGTGCCGACAAAATTAGTATATGCAGCAATATGCAATCAATCGCTCAGCAGAAAACAACGCTACTTCCAAAAACATCTTCGAACACCAACTAAAACCACAAAGAGCGAACACTGAAATAACAAGCCTCTGGAAACGCCAGTAGATAAGCATCATGTCAAAACGACTCCATCCCGAAAACTTTTCAAAAAAAATCGTACGACATCACACCAGTAGACGGTCGGTCAAGCATAACTTCGCAAAAAAATCGACCTCGCACACCGAAAACAACTGCTAACCAAATTCTCTCGGAATCGATCGAAACATGTCCTATGATTTTATTCAAACATTTTCCATTGCTTCATACATACACACTTTTGTCAACTTCAACTAAGTTTTACTAAAAATTAGTATTTATGTGTTTGTTGACTGAGAATCTTTTGATTTTCTCCTTATTTACACATGACTATTGTCCGTTTCAGACTTAAATGGATGTGGCCTTTTTTTGAATAACTTTTCAAAGGAATGAGAGAGAGACCGGCGATTTTCACCGTTGGAAAACAACTTCCCTAAAGGTTTCACATAAAAGTTGAAGAAAAGGAGCATGTCTCTCATGGTCAAGATATTAATTTATTGGTTTTCAGGAGTGCGCTACAACCGCCAAAGAGCTACAAAATCATATCCAGACTCTACTCCTAACTACTAACAGTAAGATATTCAGACCATCGGAGACACAATTTACCACCTCATTTTTTTCGATAAAATAATCGAAAAATGTTAATTTTTTTAGTATTTTTATAGAAAAATCTCTTTTTTAACCTAGGAGAAAAAAAGGAATTCTTTGAAAACGTTTGACTAAAACCTTTAGAAAGATAGTTAGAAAAATCTTTCTATACATGCGTCGGTGCGTCTTCGTCTGTTCTTCTCAACGGCGAAAATCGTAGGTCTCTATCTCATTCCTATGAAAAGTTATTCAAAAAATGCTCATGGCTATTTAACCCTGAAATGGACAATAATATCGAAAATCAAAACTTCGAATAATAGAATAAATGAATAGGGAGTGGATGTGAGTTTGTGTTTTCTATTCGCTCACACCCTGACCCAGACACTCTCTCAAGACTAGGAGATATTTTTAAGGAAGCTTTTAAACTGTGACCAAGAAGAAGCAGCTCTCCTCCGAAGAATGTAGATGCGTAAGCATGAAATATATTCCAGTCTATACATGAACAATTTAATAAATCAGAAAATGTCTACTGATACAAATAAACGAAATGAAAGAAGACATAGAGACCAGGAAAACATTCGTTTAGTCAACTTTTAACTTTATTTCAGCGCAATTATTTTCCTATTGATAAATTAAATGAGTTTAATCGCTGTTCTTGTTGGTAATTATTGAGAAGTGAACGATATGGTAGAATTGTTGTTACTAATATAATGTTACCAATTCATCTTGATTTATGTTTTATAGCATCTGATGGCAATCGCGATAGTGAATCGATAATCATCTATATAGAAGTATTAATCGATAAGCTAATCATTTACATTTAAAAAGCCCAGAGCAAAAACATTTTTACCATTTATAGGTTTATATCACGATAAAACTTTTTCAAAAAATCTATTATCATTTTTCAATCAAATATTCTATCTTTAAGAAATTTCAGTCTAGTAAAAACTGGTTAGAAGAGATATGAGAATAAATGACGAACCCTTCGAAAAATATTAATCCTTCTATATAATCATAAGTTCATCTTAAACAGAGTTGAAATGGTTTTCAGATATATCGTATAGATCAAATTCCTATAACATTCTATTTTATTAAAAACATTTCTCCATTCTTCTTCTATGAAATAAGTCAAAAGTTTGAAAACTGATTGCAGATGCAAACTCTCCGATCTCGATTTACATTCGTCAATCTTTATCAAATATCATGCTTTTCCTCATAGAGTCTTCCTATAACGAAATTCTTTCGAGTGAAATTTCTTGAAAAATGATCCATGGATTCCGAATATCGTTGGATCATGAACTTTCAGTCAACCTTATAATAGTTTTTAAGTTTTAACCTTTGACCGCGCCACATACATACATAGAAATGCATTTTATTTCATATGATTCTTCCAACAGTCAAGGAAATAAAGATCTCTACCCGATGATTCTTTTATACAAATATTTTTCATTGGAACCAAGAGAAGAAAAGATTTTTTTTCGAAATTAGAATTAAAGAAAACTCATCGAGTAAAACGTTCTATACGGACAAATAAGATGGGAACAATTTTTCCAGGATTAATTTGCATCTTAGATATAGAAAACGGTCTGATTGTCAGTCGGCAACATAGTTAACGAGTTGTCAAGGACAGAAGAAAAGGAGAACGAGCAGAAAGAAAGAGAAGAGAAAAGATCGTTTAGATTATCCCTCAGCTAACACCGATAATAAATCATATATGGTATAAGTAGATAGAGAATATATTTAGTTTTTTCTATTCCAGTCATCAACCAACTAATATAGAACAAATATTGTTGCATATGACAAAAACGATAAATAGAAGGAGAAAAATCTCGAACTTGCTTTATTAGTTTTACTTTAGGAAAAAACAGCGAGCATTATGTGCTTCCCGAATATTTATCGATTGGTACGTACGAGGTGTTATCTTGCTTTTTATCAGACAATAGAATATTCTAAACATTATTCAAAGATATTTATTGAAAATAAATTCTTATATCTAGAAAATTTAATCAGAGAATAAGGCACTTTCTGCTTCAGTACTCTAAGTTCTCCATTAAATTCAGAAATCAACAACGAAACGAGTTCGTATAATATTTGGTGTCCCAAGTCGGAAAACAAAATCACAGTTCTTAGTAGCATAAAATTATTTTTGAACAAGAAAACGACATTTGACCAGATTTGTATCGAGTACTGATTTGGTTCTAAGAATTCCATTAACACTAAAATACATCTCCAGTTTGATTATCTTATTTTTCATATATTTATTTCATTTCATGGATTTATAAACTATGCTGTGCATTTCTCGTTTGAACATAGTTGGATTGAGCATTTGTTATTTTATTTAACTCTATTTTACTTATTTGGTATCTTATGAAAAAATTTTTTAAGTTTTATTAAATTCTTATGTTACTAAACTCGTTTATTTTAATAGAGGATAATATTTCATTCCTTTCTCTATCAAACGATAGATTTTTTAAATTAAATTAATTTATTATCCTAATTAGAAATTGCGTCGTATTCTCAGATATTTTTTCGTAATCTGTTTTCATAGGCGTTGTAATCT